GGGGGGGGGGGGGGGGGGTCTGTCCTTAATCCACCAGCCACCCCCCAGCGTGAAAGGCCTCCATTGGGGCCCAAGCCAACGGGCAGAGCCAAGTCTGCCAGCTCTTGCAGAAGGCAAGGAGGCTCGGAGATGACCCCACTCAGGGGGGGGGTGATGGGGGGAGCAAGAGGTTCCTGGGGGCGATTTTACTCCAAGAAGCCGTGGGACTCCCGTGGAGGCGTTGCACACCTGGGCATTGTGTGCAGCCAGAATCCCCCAGGGAGCCTCTGCCTGCCCAGCATCTTCCTTCGGTCCCTTTGCTACCTGGGGGCGCCTGAACTATATATCCCAGCAGATTCTGCCTCTTTGGAGGTTGTGGAAAGGCCCACCGCTGATCTGGTCAGCCAGACCTGAGGAGCCTCACAGGTGTGTCCATGTTGTGGCTTGGAATGGCTGAGCATGAGTGTGTCTGTATGTGTTCATGAGTGCAAAGTCTCGGTGTTGCCTGTTTACGCATGGCAAAAAAGGGATGTGGGGGAAGGTGGTTTATTTGTTTTTAAAATGTGCCTGCTGCCCATGTCTCCACTCAGTGCCTCTGGCTGGCTTGCAATACCACAAATAACAGAATAAAACAGTTGCAGGATTAGAACATTAAAGCACCCAACATTAGAAATGAAGGCATACAATCAACATTAAATTGGAAAAAAGGAACCAATGTATACACAGGGTGGAGGTAAGTCACTTTTAAGCTTGAGGCTCTTATTTTCCCCTGATTATAAGCTAAACCACTTCCTTAACGAAAGTATACAGAGCCCCACCTTAAAATAGATTGTGTGTGGATCTTTAGCAAAGGATGCCAGATGAATTCAGTGGGTGCACACCTGAATGGGAAACCATAGTTAACCCTAGTTAGACTAGCATTGTTGATGTTACTTAGTTTGGGTGATGAAACATCTGCAAGAAAACCACCAAGCTCAGAGATCACCAAGGACCCCCCCAGAGTTAATCTAGTTAACCATAATTAACCAGGGCAGGGAGAACAATCAACCCAAGGAACAGAAGTTGCTTTCAGAAGTTGTGGGAGCTTCGTCACTGGAGCCTTTCAAGAAGAGACTGGACTGTCCTTGGTCAGAAATGGTGTAGGGTCTCCTGTTCGGTGGGGGGGCTGGACTAGGTGACCTACAAGGTCCCCTCCAACTGTTCTACTCGACTCTACTCTACTCTACTCTGTTTTATTCTATTCTATTCTGTTCTGTTCTGTTCTGTTCTACTCTACTCTACTCTACTCTACTCTACTCTACTCTGTTTTGTGAGATTGTGGCTAAGAAAAACCACCAGGATTCAAAGTTGATCCAAGGAAAAAGGTTTTATTGTAACATTTCTGCAGAAATGGGTTCCTGCCCTGGCAGGTGGGAGGAACGAAAGGCAAAGCTTAAAGGCTCTACTCTTATACCCAAAACTACCCCCTACTACTCCCCCCCCCCCC